GTGCGAAGCTCATGCAGCACGAGCCGATTTTTCGACCTGCTAACAGTGACACAGCTGCTTGCATAGTGAAGCATAGGGCAGGATAGGCCGCCATTCCAGTCACCAGCTACTGGCACGCTTATAGTTCTCAGACAATCTCGGGTCAACGAGTCAGTTTCACAACCAAATGAGTGCACAGCGGCAATCGCCCGCAACGTGCTGAGCCCGCTCGCGCGGCGTCCAATTAAAAATTAGTAGTAGCAGTAGTAGTAGTAGTAGTAGCAGCAGCAGTTGACTGAGGCTTTAGGGTTTACGGTTTAATATAAAGCTTCTCTTATAGAGCATCCAGGATGTTCATGGATCTCGTAGTCAGGTCAATGGTTTGGTGAGCTTGGGGGAGATGTATTGCAGCACGTGTAGGGATTTTGCAGGAAAACATGCATCCAGCTGGTCAGGCTCAGATATGGCAAGAGGCACAACAGCGCGAGAATGGCCCAAGGAAGACGAGCACGTACGGTTTCCGGAGATCAAAAAATGTTGTTACCCACGTACGAAATCCCTTGTGCAATCATGTGAGCACCACAGCCGAAAGCCTCGAACCTCAACCTCACTCTAGAATACTTCTAGGCAGTGTCCCGCCGTGCAGTGAGCAGCTCGAGTTCTGGTTTCCGAAAAAGCCCAAGCAATGTATCCCTGATCCCTGCCCGGAGACTGCAAAAATCATCGAATCCCTGAGCCCTTCAAGTTAGAATCTAAGGCGTCTATGTCTAGGCTCCCATTTAGGGTTCGCCTGAAAAGCGAGCCCTGACACTGCACCAGACTCCAGGAACCCGGGCGAAGCGCGCAGCCGCCATGTTTGGCTCCGGCCACCTACAAAACAGATCAGTTTCAGGCTTTTTGAGGGCTCCTTGATTCGACATAGGAAGCTGAACGACCAAGCTCGCAGCTTCAGATTTTTATGCTCTACATACATACATGCATACATACAGCATACATATACACACACACATACTCGAAGATACTTTGCAGCATGTCACAACTAGGAACTGTAGCGGGGAACTGCATGAATTTCTCATTGCTCATTCTCTCCTCTGCCTAGAGAATTCATGTTGAGTCTCTGGTCGTCTAGAGTGGACGACGACGACTACTACGACCACGACTTCCTGCCGCTGCTCCTACTTCCACAGGCGGCAATAGATGCGAACCTCTGTCACACGGGTCATCTTTACAGCGGCATCTGCGGAGCATAACCCAGCCTGTCAAACATCATAACTCTCAAGCAACAGTTTGGCAGCAAGTACACCAAGTATGCCGCTAGCAGCCAAAAGTGAGCCGTGATTGCAAGTCTAGAACCCAGAGACATGTGCTCAGCGAATCCGTCTTTGCCGCAGCAAAGCCACATCAAGCGCGAATGAAAAGCGACACTGCAAGCTTAAAACGCGGCCACATGCTAAGAATCCCGCACCGTCAGGGTTGCCAGTAGCTCAACACTCGACCAAGAAGCGTGCATTGTTTGTTCGGTCACCCTGACGGCACGCAATGGCAACTGCTAGCTACAGTCAGCAGCTCCGTGATGACGAGGCTGCCGTTCTTGCACTGTACTTGGAGGTTCATGGGTAGTTATAAGTGGGGTTAGAAGTAGGGTAACCATACTTTTAACCCATGTTGGGGGACTTGAAACCCTACTTATAACTACCCATGAACCTCCAAGTAGTCTTGGCAGTAAGGAACCCGAAGTCCCTAGAGCTAAACCCAGCGTATCGGGCCAAGAAGTGGTCTGCATTCTCTGCAAACATCCCACAAACCTAAGTTTTTTTTGGTGTTAAACCTATGCTTTCAAGCTCTGCGTCCCAAGACTCGGAAACCCTACGGCCCAAACCTCTGCTTCCAATCTAAAGCTTTCCTGTCACTCAGGAGCTGCTTGGCCTGGTCACGCAGGAGCAAAGGCTGAATGCAAGTGTGGTGGGGTTTTGGGGTTTAGGGTTCAGGGGTTTAGGGTTTCGGGTACAAGTCGTGTCAAGTGAGATATGACCCTGTTCTAAGCTGGTAGCCTGCGCTCAAGGGCAGCTCGGCGGGCAAGGCAGTCTCGCACACCCCTAACGAGCTGGGTCAACAAACCCCATAATGACACTGTATAGCTGTGTTCCCCCAGGTTGTTTCCCTACGAACTAGTACTTGAATACTTGCGGGCAGGTGAAAGTAGGATTAGCAGCGTCTTGAGTGGAGAGGTTTCAGTTTCTGTTTGCTGCCCCTCTGGCAAGCCTGCGTACCGAGTCCAAATGAACCCTACAAAAACATTCTAATCAAGCTATGTAAATATCTAATCCCTATAAAGATCCCTTCAAAAAGCCTACTCATGTACTGGGTCCTTTGATCACTGATCCTCTAATAAGCGAAAAACTACACCCACAGAGGGAACCTGCAAGCAACCTTTAATCTAGGATGCCCAGTAACCTAGGAATAAAAAGGGCTCCCTTTTTGGTATTTGGTAACTTTATAAGGAACCTAGGACTACAAAAAAGCAACAAGGGTACCCCTGGGCATCCAAGTAATCATACTGCCGATGGACGACATCTACATCACCATCAGCAGTATGTATTGTCCCCGGATCCTCCAAGTGGCAGAGGACAGCAGTGCTCCATGCGAAAGGAACGGAGGTTACATTCAGGACTGAGGCTTTTGACAGGATCAACATGTGAGGCTAGAAGTGCCTTGAAGGCCCCTTTTGAGGATCCTTCCTGAACGCTGCGATCCTGAAGGACCCCTGGCTGGACCAGGGATCCCTAGTTTTCAGGGTTAGGGTTTAGGGTTTAGGGGTTTAGGGTTCAGAAACCCCAAGAGTCCTACAACAAGCCACAGGGAATCTCAGAAGGCGGCTGAAGTCTTCGGCTTTTGGGGCTTCGAAAGGCTCGCCCATCTCGTGCTCAAGCTTTGTAACCTCGGCCCAACTCTTCCCAGACCCCCGGGAGGATCTAGAAAGTAGGGTTTAGGGTTTAAGGGTTTAGGGTTTTAGGGCTTGGGGGTTTAGGGTTTAGGATCTAGAAAGTAGATCCCCTAATTTGGGGCCCTATACTACTAAGTGTACTTTATAGGAACCCCATTAAGGGAGCTACTTTTTGGATCCTCCCGGGGGTCTGGGTTCATGTTGTGTTCAGCAGAGGGTTTTTTGGGTATCAAAGGGCTTCGAAATGGGTTCTATAAGGTGGGGGTTTCCGTTTGGCTTCAAAAGGATTCTAGAGGGGCCTTATGAGGTTCTGCGACACTTCCAGGTCCAAATGTTCTCAAGGGCCCCATTGTCCCACTGGGCTCAAGTCTAATGGCCCCTCGTAAAGGCATCCTGTAAGCTCACTGGCCCAAAACCCAAGGGAACAAAAAAAAGTTGAAACTTTCAGAATCGACTACCTTATAAGAGCCCCAAAAGTTGAAAAAGTTGAGCTTACGGCTAATCTGTAGGAGTCGCGGGTGTGCAGAATCTACGCTTGGAGCTATGCTGCGGGAGAGTCGGAGTCGGGCCTTGACTTGAGGAGGTTCAAATTTTTGAGAGCCTGACAAATTGGAGGCTCCAAAACCCCTTAATTAAGGAATATACCTTAGATCATATTAAGGTTCCTATTATAGTTTAAGGTATATTCCATAATTAAGGGCTTTTGGAGCCTCTGGGTACTTGGAGGTTCATGGATCGTTATAAACGGGGATATATGTCACCTAGTATGGCTTACAGTTTTGGCTGCCCTACTTATAGCTACCGATGAACCTCCGCCTCCAAGTAACCGGGAGCCTTGGAAGCTTTCACCTCCCAAAAACATTCCGCAACTTCTTTCGGTTCCTCGGTGAAAACGAGGTCCACCGCCCACGAAACACGCAGAAACCGTCATGCCAGGCTTGGCGTCGTTTGGACTTCCTCGCATTACCTGTCCTCGCAATCAGGGAGGCTCCAAACCCTAGATACCCCCCAAAGACACCGCTGCGAGCCTCGAGATTGGACGGGGCCGTGGAAGATTCGGACTTCTCTGCTTCACCTTCATGGACTCAGGCATTGAGGGCCGGGGGCGGCATCTTGCCGTGAGCCTTTCCCCACGGCATGGACATCGGTGGAACCTGCTACTTCGTGTAAACCGCAGAGCCCTAATAGGCCCTAACATAACATCAACACGCACGAGAACTCCTGTAACCTGGGAAGAACTCTGGGCCTCTGTTGCGTCCTTTTCTGCGCTCTGCCACGCGTTGGCGTGCAGTCGCCGGGGCGGGACCTCGAACATGTGAGAGGGTCTGGCGTTTGTGAGTGAGAGTCTAACTCAAACACCCCTCTGGCACAAAGATCCTTACAAGCTTTGTTGCACCAAATGTTCTTGCATCCCCACAGCATGTGGTTTAGGAACTCCTCATGCGGTCTTCGGTGGGAGGACAGAAGCAAGCCTTGAACATGAAGGAACTGAGGCCTCCACTGAAGGACATGTTGCGCACCTTAGGTCTTGCCAGGAAGGTTCGCATAGTCGCCGAGAAGCAATCGGTAACAGTCAAATTCAGCAAAATCTCAAGCGATATGCTTGACAAACTGCATGGACTGGGCATGGAAAATGGGGCGGCTTCTGAGCGGCAGCCGTCTCTGGAAGACGAAGCCCCTGCTTTGATATGACTGGACTCTCCGAGTCAGCGGCGGCGCCCACTTCGGGCAAGGCCTTGTTTCATAGTGCATTGCATTGCGACATGTTCGACCTTGCTCACTGCTACGGCTACGGCAAGATTGAGCAGCTCTCTTTCTTTGCAAATCCGTGGCTGAAACAAACTTTAAGTACACCCGATCTGTACGCGGGAGAGAGGCCGTGACCTCCAAAGCCATCGGACTCCACTAGGCGGACCCGGCTTATGTTTGGGTGAGGCTGAGCTGGGCCCTCGAAGCTCCAGCTGAGCATCGGCGCGGCAACAGCGCGTGAAAATTCTACACCGAAGCATTACAAGTCGCTGAGAGTGTACCATTCCCTCTCACCATCGAGCGATCGGCCTCCTCCCACTGCGAATCTCTAGGCCCGTGAGTTCAGAGCTCCGTTCCGGAAAAAGCTGACGAGGACGTTGCAAAGAACCTGATGATATCCGGCGGCCTTCGGCGGTTCTGCATAGAAGGCGTCTTCTGTGTCGGAATCCATGGCATGATACTCCACCCCCGGAACTCGATCTGCGTCTGCTTCACCTCTGTATGCGGCTGGGTTTCTGTCTCCCACTCGCGGCAGTCGCCTGTCATCATCCCCGAAGGGATCCGAAGCTCGATCTGGCATTGTTTCAACCGGGGAAGTCAAACGCAACTGGGCCGCAAGGTTGCGTGCCAGCTCCTCGTCTCCCGCCAGCTCTTTTTCACGCCTCCGGCGTTCTTCCTCATCTTCCGTGCGACCCGGGGGATACGCAAAGGCCGACTGCCCTCCGGACCGGGCTGGCGGCGCACGCTCAAAAGTATCAAGGGCCACCGCCTCGGCCATGGCTCAAAGATTTCCCCCCTAAGTCCCAAGGACCATCTGAAGGAGCAGCTGTGTGTGCTGGATTTTTGACCGGTGCGGTAGCCACGCATCGTTCAACACACTGTAACGGTGCATGCCGAATTGAAGCACTTGCTGACATGAGTAGCAACAGATAAGGCCCGCTGCTGACAAATCCACGTCTTGGGATTTTCTCGCCTCGATTTTACAGGGGAAGCGTGGCCAAACTCATCACGAACATGCGGAAACGGTTCTGGGGTGCCAGGCCTCTGTCCATTCGTCACCACTTTCGATGAGCTCGTATCTCGTCTCCAGCATCCTGGCAGCTACTCACGCAAACTTAGCCAACAACAGCGCGTGACTGCCATGTGACGGACACATGAAGCAATCAACTTTGCTTTGATGCTGGTGGCCTCCCAGGGCACCACGTCACCTGCATCGGTAACTGCAGTCATGCTCTTCTGCAGCTTTGCACGTGCCACCCGTATCCGACCTTCTTACCATATCTTTCCTCACGGGCCAAACCTTGGGACAGCAACTCGACCTCACGGCTGAGTAATTCTGGCGGAAGCAGCTGAGGCTCTTGCTTTTCCAATCTTGGGCGATGTCGACGGGCCTGTGAGCAGTTTTTTTGTCGCTCGCTCTCGGCAAGCAGGTGAGGTTTGGGGGAGTTCCGTACGACACTGAAACATCAGGCCTGTGAGCAGTTAGGGAACATTCTGTCACAAAGATCCCGCTGTGCATTACTTCTCGTTCTCTTCCCTCATGCGGGATCTGTTTGATGTCAACGGATTAAACCCAAGCCGTGGGTATGTTTCAAACACGACGTACACAACATTACACAACAGGTTTGGCCCGTGGTATTGTTGCAGAACCCACTTATGTGAAGCTTGAAAAATTACGACAAAAGGCGAGAAAATGTGCGAAACCTAACCGCCATGACTTGAATAACAAGCAGTGGTAATGCAGCACAAGCATCAGCTGGTTCATGAAAACTAAGATCGCTGCACCGGAGGGCCGTGACGAAAATTTCCCTTCCGCGCGAGGCAGCACGCCCTCGGGATCAGTTGTGTTGTGGAATATACGTGGGTCACAAACACTTACGACTAAAAACATAATTCAACGCACTTGGGAACGAAGCGCTGAGGCGCAAGCGACACCAAACCACTATCAGCTCTACGAGGCCTCACAAGCGCCAAAAATCGCGTCCCGCAGATGGCAACCCACGAGTTCTACGTTCTCGCGAAAGCGGCTACAGGCTAGGCCCCTGACCGGACTTCTACATCAGGGGCATTGCCCATTAATCCTAGGCACGAACTCGAGCCAAAGGATTCTGTTCCAACCAAACGTCCGCATTGTCGTTTCGGCGGTGCAGATGATGTCGACCTCTGTCTTGTTCCTGCTGATCCTTCGCTAATTACGTCCAATGCAAAAATATATATGTTGCACCTTCGTGCGCCATGTATCACAGCAATGTTTAACGAGAATCATTGTTTCGCAAGGATGGTCTTCGCATGAGTTCGAGCACATGTCCGTCGCCGAGATGTTGCCTTGAAGCCAACTCGCCTCCAAACTCTTGCGTGCTGCAGTGAAGCGACTTAATCCTCAAACGCTGGATTACAAAGCTCGGAATGGAGCGGGCAAACAATTTCAAGATGCAACTGAGGTGGATGCAGCAATGTGTGAGATCGAAGCACTAAGCAGCCGCGAATGAGAAGGAGCAAGGGTGTATGCAGCACATTGCAGCACTGGTGGTCCATTGTCCACACGTTGAAGAAGCAACTCGGAAATATTCACAAAGCTCTCCGGGAAGCCCTGCGCGTGTTCTGTTTTAAAAACTCAACATGCCGATCTATCCCGAACTCCGAGTGCTGGCTGATGGCATGGGTGTAGCTTTGACGCAGCACGTTGGAACATCTGGTTGACTCTTTTGGTGTTCACACGTGCTCCCCATACCGACTGTCCAACATAGCCATCAATCTGGCGATCTGACAAAACAAGACAAAACTTCACAAAACTCCAGGCGATGGTTTGCTGTTCGGTGTTCATGTTTGTAAAATGCTGCAAGACTACTGATGCATGTCAACGAAAAGCATAATACATGATACAATGTGGCGGCGACCGCCAAGTTGTCAAATTTTTTGTGTGTTGTGAAATGTTACAAGTGAGAAAGCCTGTGACTGGAGCGTCTACAACCAGGAGCTGGCGACACGCAGAATGATGTAGATTTGGCATCGACCCCCCATGCTTGCTGGTTGCAGCAAGCCTACAACTTTTTCTTCACGCGCCTTGTTCCCGACCGCTACAGAAAGACCAATCTACTGCTGGGAATGTCGCTTATGCGGCGCGCATCGGCAGCAAAGAAGGCAACGTCGTCTCGGCGAGTTCGACAACTTCGCTTAGTCTCGGCTGCCCATCGCTATCCGGCTCTGCTGGTGCGAGCTGATAGCGTGGACGCGAGGGCACGCTGTTGCGCACAGCTGAAAAACTGACCAGCAGCGCCGCCAGCCGGCCGCAGCGGCAGCGCCCGATCGCGACTGCCCGGCTGCAGTCTCCCATCGGCGCGCAGGGCGACACGAGCGTAACGTCGAAGCACAGCGCCTCCCCGCACCTTGGTTGCGCCATACAAAACGAAGTCGAGCCGGCGCCGATCGTCGGGTGCGATCTCGGGCGCGGTGGTGTGCAGTTTCCACTGTTGAAGCACAACGCGGCCTGCTGCGCCGACAGCCTCGATCGACCCTTACCCATGCATGCTCCAGAATCGGTGCCGGCAGGCTGCTGCGGGCGCATGCGGCGCGGTGATCGCCGTGCACACCGTCGCGGGCGCCACAACCGTAGGGTGTAGGGCAACTGAGGTTTTGTGTCAGATGAAAGTCAAAGTACAGCAGCCCAGGGACTAAGCCCCAACCCTGCAACAGCACAAGCACCCGAAACTGCCGGGGTTGGTAAGGGGGTTCTTGGAGGGTCGTGGGACTTAGTAAGTAGGTAGTAAGTAGATTCACAAGCACCCTAAGAAGCGACCCTAATTGAGGTTATGGTACTTACAAGTCCTTAAAATAACCAGTAACTAAGTCCCCCGACCCTCCATGTAAGGGGTTCCGGAAGTTTAGAGTTTGGGGTTTATAGGGTTTAGGTAGCAGCTTCGGGCAGTTTGGGGTTTAGGGGTTTATGTAGAAGCATATCGATATATGCATGTGTTCGAAATCGGAGAAATGATGAAAGATTTGGGAGCTTTTGCACAGGGACCGTTTGCCCCAAGCCTTAAACATCGGGTGCAGGCGTTGAAGGCGGCACACCCTCCGGAAGAGTGGGCCAGTCGGGGAGTGCGGTTTAACCTTCTGCATCCAGTGCGGTGCCTGCAGATGAAATGCAGCTGTGCGGCCCTCGATGTTGACGGCGCTGCTGCTGTTGCTGCGTCAGCAGCAGCTAGCTCGCGCGCGTATCTCATGCGGCGGCAGCATCGGTCCTGCGTTGGCGCATGACTGGGCCCGCGTCGGCCAACGCAGCCCAATATGCGGCCGTTAGTACTCGCCCGGCACAGCAAAGCACCGAGATGCTTCACCGGGTGGGTAGGAAAGCCGGAAAGCGCGCCGCATCCCACCCCTCACTTTCGGCGTCGGGAAAGGAGATGCAGCAACGTCCGCCACATGGCATTAATTGCCGGCCGGACTCGGACGGAGGGACGGTGCGTATTGCATGCTGTGCCCGGGGGCTCGGGCAGTACAGCACTAGAAGCCATGCGCACTGCAGATGTGGCAGCCGCATGAGTTCTTGCAAGAGGCTTCGCTCGGCCTACAGCCGCTTCTCCGCCCCAGTGGCCTCCAACCCCCGAGCCGAGTACAAGGAGGCGCTGGGGACCTTATCGCAGCAGCCGATGATGCCTTTGCGGCTGGCCATCTCGCGACATTGGAAAGACCAATGTTGCGTCACAGCACAAACCTTGTCCCCAAGGAGTGACGTCGTAGATGACCATGTCCAGTGGGCGGCGGTCATCCGACCTTGTTCGCGGTGCGGTTGTGTGCGTTAGCCACTGCTGTGGGACGACTTGCCCTTCGGGCCCGATAGCTCTGCGCGGCACGCGGCCCCAAGCATGCTCGACGATCTTGGAGCAGCCCGTGCGCGGGCATGCTGCGGCATGGTCTCCCAAAAAGAATCCGCATCCAGGTGCGTCGCCACCGCCAGCATAGGAGTTGAGCGGGAAGGCGAGACGCAAGCGTCTGCGCAACGCGATCTGCATGGTTTCGGGCGCTAGTACGTGGGCTTCTTCAAGGATCCATGGTCGGCAACGGCACACGGTCGCGAAAGTAACACGTGCGCGTCCGCGTTGCGTGGTGCTGCCATCCATGGAGCCAATCCTCTAATCCTCGGTTCGGCAAAGCCTTCGTTTGGTGGTGATGGAGCAACTTTGCTCAAATGGAACAAGCCGACCAACCTTCCGTGAGCAGCAGAGTACGAGCATGGGAAGCTTGTTGAAGGGTTTTTTTTTTCACGCACCTTTTGACGTCCGCCTAACTCGCAAGTCCAAGTCCCCGTGCAACCTGCGCGCTACGGGCCGAGGCGGCTGGGGGTGGGAGGGACTGCATCGTGCAGTATGTCCTCGAGTGGCGGGTGCTGCGCGCCAGGCAGGGCGCCAGCGATGTACGGCACTCCGAGCAGCGTGGCAGCAAGTGTGCTTTGCAAAGCACCGCTCAAGAAGCCCCACCAGCTATGAGCATACGGTCGTAGAGCAGGCGCGGGAACCGTGGTGCTGCCATCACTGGCGCCTCTCGCCAGGTTCAGGAGGGTCGCATTGTGCGGGGCGTAGGCCGTTGTGTACATCGTGCCAAGATGGGCGGCCCTCCTTCGAGCACGCGGCCCGCCTTGTCGGCAGCACGCAAGCAAACGGCAGCAGCAGCTGGACCTGCAGCGAGTTCTGCGAGGCACCTTGCTGCTGCATCGGGGCGGCGCGCGCGCAAGACGGGCAGTGCGTCGGCCCAGGCGGCCCAGTAAGCTGCAGAGGCGGT